TCGTTTTTGCTTTCACAAACAACATACAAACTGCATATTCTTGTTTGAAAGAGTTTGAACATTGAGCCTGTAATTCTTGATTGCATTATTTTTCATCACTGACTAGCAAAACTTAATTGAAGTACTAGTATTGATAAGTTGTGTGAAAGATCATTTCACATTTGTTATCAGTTGTGAAAAATTGTTATTTTCTAAAGAATTCTGGAAAACTAGCTCTGTGTCTGAATATTGGAAAGAGTATTGCTAATGGAATTTTATAATTACAACGCTCTGTGATATCAATGATAGTAAGTGAAGCAACTGGTTGATTACAAACAGATAACAGGCATAATTTACTACTGTATTACAGCCTAGAGTTTATGGACTACAGTCAATTTGCATTAACTGTACGTCTGAAGATAATTGCTCTGAAACAGCCTTTAACCAAATTCCATGAAATCTTCTATTTTTAATTATGTGGCCTGTAAAATATTTTTAGAATATTTTCATTTTCTGTGTAATTATTTTCAACAAAAGCATCTGGGTAGTTATAAAGTGGAATGAGGTGGAGAGGGTGATAAAAATGAGAAGGGAAAGCTTTGAAGAAATTCAGCATGTTTGGAGAAGTTGATTATGGTATTCAGAAGAGATGAGTAAGACGCAACATGATAGTCATATTCATTGATTTGAAGAGTTACCATATAGATAGTGGGGAGGGAGGAAGAGAGGGAATCCGTAATTTGGAAAACATAGAGAAGCTTTCTAATAATGCATACTGTGGAAACCAATCTTTATTTGGTGTTAAAAAAGATTGGATGTTTACCTGATGGGCTTTTCTACAGATAGATTTCTTGCATTAGGAGTTTAGATTTCTTGCATTAGGAGTTTAGATGAGCCAGATTATTTTTGAAATATTTTCCAATGGTGACTAGATTCTCACGTTCCACTAAGCCACGCTTAGATTGACAAGGTTTTGGCAGAGTATATTTTGGGAATTCAACCATTACAGTTTGATTTTAGCAATGTGGTGTGTCATTGTGGCTTGTATAACAAACCATGGTTAGAGAATACAATGGATTGATGAAATGTATAAACTCAGGCTATGATTATATTCTCAAGAAAGAAAAAGCATTGCCAATCAGGGGTTGCAAACTTACAGAAGAGGGTGGGAATATCTATGAGGAAGGGAAAATGGTGGTGAATACAAAGTTTTCTCATTCTTTGGTATTAGTTAACATCATGGTATTGTTATAAAATGATTTGCTTTGGCAAACTACTTTTTCCAGGAATCCAGAATCTCTGTAATGACTTTCTGATCCCAATTTGAAGGTGCTTGTATAAACTGTTTTTTTAAACATAATAAAGGAAAGGAATTATTTGGTAGAATGAGATAATTCATAAAGAAATTGTACATAGAGTGAAAAAAACTACATTAGATCTATTTAATTGTTTCCTTTCTATCATAGTAATTTTATGCCTTCTTTCAGTGAATCTTAGACTGTGTAGAGAAGATGAAATAATCTTGTATAAGGATATTCAGTTTCTGGTAGTACAAATACTGTTGCTGCTTGTATAGGTTTTCCATGCTAGTCTTTTTGAATAGCCAAGCTTTGTATTTTTTTTTTAGCAACCTGGATTACAATGTTCAAAGACCATTTTAAAAATTCAGTTGGAACTGGATACATAATCCTGCATTTGTTTCCTTTTGACAAGACTACAATTTACTTTAATATTTTAAACATGGCTGCCTTAAATAAAACCCAGCTGGGTCAAATAAACCAAACAAATCAAGTTTGTTTTGATTTAAAAAATGCTTTAGAATTTATAATTAATTGAGATGTAATTAGAATATCTTCAACTTAAATATATCCCCATATATTCAGTTTGTTTGATTGGCTGTATTGGTTGCCTTATTATCTGCTGGGGTAATATATATCGTATTTCCCCGAAAATAAGACTGGGTGTTATATTAATTTTTGCTCCAAAAGATGCATTAGAGCTTATTTTTTGGTTAGGTCTTATTTTCAGGGAAATATGGTACTAAATGCGCCCTCTGGCTGATGACCTTAACTGGGGCTTATTTTGGGGATGGGGCTTATAGCAATAGCACTTAGACTTGAAAAAGTAAGGTTCTACATTTAGACAAGAAAAACCAAATGTACAGGTATACATTTGGGGGTACCTTGCTCAGTAGTAGTAACTGTGAGAGGGATCTCGGAGTCCTAGTGGACAATCATTTAAATATGAGCCAGCAGTGTGCTGCAGCTGCCAAAAAAGCCAACACAGTGCTAGGCTGCATTAACAGAGGAATAGAATCAAGATCACGTGAAGTATTAATACCACTTTACAATGCCTTGGTAAGGCCACACTTGGAATACTGCATCCAGTTT